ATTTGATATTTTTAGTTCATGTAATAGAGGTCTATGGTCACCACCTCAAAGAGTATGCACAGAGAAGTTTTAATTAAACATGACTCATAAATGTAAGTACACATTGATGGCCTAAGACACGAAACGAGCGGTTTGTGTGAGAAAACGAACAGTATTTATATCGTTTTTTACCTTGTGTAACCACAGCCACAAAGCGCCCACCCCCTCAGATCACTTGGACGTGGCTGTGGTTACAAGAGGTAAAAACTATATAAATACTGTTCATTTTCTCAGACAAACTGCTCGTTTCGAGTCATTAAATCATGTTTAATTTGGACTTCTCTGTGCATGCTGTTTGAGGTGGTGACCATAGACCTGCATTATATGACTGACAGACAAGAACGCTTTGACCTAAAAATATAAAAATTGAAAATACTGTGGAAACAAAGACACCTAAATCTTAGATGCTCTTGAGGTAAGATAAAACATACCAAATATTAATTTCAAAGTGAACTATCCCTTTAATGTCAGTAAAACGTCAGAACAAATGCTTAATCTGTTAGTAATGTCTTAGAGCTGTCCGTCTCCATTCCCCTACACTCAATATACAGAATTACTTTAAATTGCAGCAAAATTACTTCTTTTATGTTCCACAAAAGAAAGTCATGTTTTGGAATTGTAAAAAATGTTTGTTTCACAGATCTTCACAAATGTTCTCAGTGAAATTGTTTGTTACCAGAGTTCAGATCATGGCACCAATCTCTCCACTCTGCTCCAAAACAGATGATGGAGTTATGATCTTTCTTGAATTCTCCTCCAGTCTAGTGCACAGAAATATATATATTCAGAAAGTATTTAATGAAATCGGACAGAAATCAAGACAAAGACCCAAGAAATTCCCATGGACATAATGTTAGAGATTCTTCCATTAAATTGTAGCCTAATTGTCTGAACAGTAAATGATAGTGTGGATGAAAGCTTCATAAAGCAGTCTCTGTTGACGTCTGCATGTTTGGTATGTCAGTCTTTCTCAGGACAGTTCAGGAAAGCAGTGTCTGGTCATCGATCCGGTGATAAAGTCTGACGCAGGCTGGTACACTGTATCCGCCATTAATGAAGCGGGGATGTCCACATGCAATGCCAGGCTGGATGTGGGCAGTAAGTGCACATAATCTATTCACCTTTTTATCTTAAGACTTGTTCGAAAGTTTGTGAGTGAGTATTATTTAGCTTTTTTTTTATTTAGCATTGGCATTGTAAAACATTTTTTATTGACAAAGTTAAAAAGTATATGAATGCATAAGGATTTGTAGATTGTATAGGAAGGTGCTGTAAATAAATGCTGACCATTTCTTTTCCATTTTTAATCACATTTTACATAGGACAAATGAATTTATAAAAGTACAAACATTCCAAGTTGTCTTTCAATTAAAGGCGCAGTAAGTGACTTCTGAGAAACACCCTTGATATTTGATATTGAGTTCACACGTACATGAAATCAGATATAGGAAATTTATGCTTATTTAGTCCGGGGGAAATTTGGCCCGAACCCAGAGTGCAGAGATAGAAAACCAGCCAAGAGTGAGGTGACGGGGTGGTGGAGGGATGCTGTGAAACTGTCATGGGACATCGGCGAGGGAAGGCTATATTTATACCGGCTTCCTCTCGTGCTGATTGGTTGATTACCTGAACGTGCTCCTCCAGAACTTGGTTACATAAAACTTCATTTGAAATCGACACCCAAATAAACATACCCCTACCCATACGAATCACACCGCTCCCTTCATCGCTCCGGCCCTGAAATAACAAACATGCTGTGCAACACAAGCAGTGATCAGAGAAGGCCGGGGTATACTTCATTTTCTGCGTTCCCCTCCTTTTAAAAGTGCACTTCTTTGGCCGTGAGCGTGGAAAGACACAAGGGGTGTTCACTGCAGAGCCAAATGACATCCAGTTCCCCTCTCTAGGGTTATGGGTACGGTTAAAGAAATGGTGGGACTCCACCTATTACGTCCAGCAAGGGGGAGCTGGGCATCAAGTGCCACCCATTGGCTCTGCAGTGAACAGCCTCTCAAAAAACGTGTTAGGCGTGTGCGTGTAACCAGTCCTACTCAACCCGCTCCGAGCGGGATTCGAATTGTGGTCTCTGTCGTGGGAGGCGGGCGCTCTATCAAGGAGGCTAAACGCCGCAACCTCTGGCGTCAGTCGCTGGTGCACCTCTTGAGATCAGGGGAGTGAGGTTTACACGCACAGCTCTTATCTAGTGGACTTTGTTTTCAAGCACTTAAGTCACTCAAGGCACATGTGCTGTTGTAACCGCACTCTTCGAGAGAACACAAAAACTGGGCGGCACGCGGATGGTGTGCGCGGACATCCACAACACTCCTGATGACAAAAACTGACATAAATCATGTACACGGACCATTCAAGTAGATATAGAGAAATACAATCAGGGCGTCAACTCGAAAATCTCCACATGTTCTTGCCTTATAGCTATTTTTTTCCAGTTATATTCCTCTGACCCATTCCTCTTTGGTAATATCTCAGCCATCTTTTAACAGTCTTTCTACAAATATCCCACTTGCTCACTCTCTCTCCTCCCTCATCATGTGTGTACACGCCCCTTTAGTTCTGATTGGCTAATCCCCCATCATGAGTGGACGTGTTCTCTACTGCTGATTGGCTGACTCTCTCCTCCCCCATCATGTGTGAACACGCCCCCTACTGCTGATAGGCTCACTCTCTCTCTTCCATCATGAGTGGATATGCCCCCACTGCTGATTGGCTTACTCTCTCTCCTCCCCCATCATGAGTGGACACGCCCCCTACTGCTGATTGTGTCACTCTCTCCTTCCCCATCATGAGTGGACATGCCCCCTACTGCTGATAGGCTCACTCTCTCTCCTCCCCCATCATGAGTGGACACGCCCCCTACTGCTGATTGTGTCACTCTCTCCTCCCCCATCATGAGTGGACACGCCCCCTACTGCTGATTGTCTCACTCTCTCCTTCCCCATCATGAGTGGACACGCCCCCTACTGCTGATAGGCTCACTCTCTCTCCTCCCCCATCATGAGTGGACACGCCCCCTACTGCTGATTGGCTTACTCTCTCTCCTCCTCCATTATGAGTGGACACGCCCCCTACTGCTGATTGTGTCACTCTCTCCTTCCCTATCATGTGTGGACACGCCCCCTACTGCTGATAGGCTCACTCTCTCTCCTCCCCCATAATGAGTGGACACACCCCCTACTGCTGATAGGCTCACTCTCTCCTTCCCCATAATGAGTGGACACGCCCCCTACTGCTGATAGGCGCACTCTCTCTCCTCCACCATCATGAGTGGACACACCCCCTACTGCTGATAGGCTCACTCTCTCCTTCCCCATAATGAGTGGACACACCCCCTACTGCTGATAGGCTCACTCTCTCTCCTCCCCCATCATGAGTGGACACACCCCCTACTGCTGATAGGCTCACTCTCTCTCCTCCCCCATCATGAGTGGACACGCCCCCTACTGCTGATAGGCTCACTCACTCTCCTCCCCCATCATGAGTCGACACGCCCCCTACTGCTGATAGGCTCACTCTCTCTCCTCCCCCATCATGAGTGGACACGCCCCCTACTGCTGATAGGCTCACTCACTCTCCTCCCCCATCATGAGTGGACACGCCCCCTACTGCTGATAGGCTCACTCTCTCTCCTCCCCCATAATGAGTGGACACGCCCCCTACTGCTGATAGGCTCACTCTCTCTCTTCCATCATGAGTGGACACACCCCCTACTGCTGATAGGCTACAGGACTGTTTTGGTACTGTTGCCACTGTTTTCTCCTTTTATTTACACATCCAGGTGTGTGTACAACAAACACACAATATTTTTTCAGCACACACACAGAATGGTTTGTTTGGGTGTTGATTTCAGCTCTTTTACAGCACCTCTCAAAATTCTCTTACTGCACCTTTAAAGTGATCTCATAAGATTGCATGTTTAAAATATTTTTAGATGCATACTGCAGGACAGTGATATCACTGAATAGCATGTTATCTACTCAAATTTTTAAATATTTAATTTAATAATTATTTTCTTTTAACCTGAATATGCCAGTTTATTGCTTTGTCTCTAAGCCCTAAATAGCGATGCCTATTTTCTTCTAGCTCGAATGAACAAGACTACCCCTCCTGCCAGATCGATGAAAAGCTTTCCCATCGTAAGCCAGTTTTCCACGTTGAGCACGGAGCCTCGTCCTCGCCACACCGCCCCTCTGTACGAGAGCGAGGAACTGTAGACTCGCGCAGAAGGCCATCTGGAGACATTACGCAGGATTTACCCAGTTAGTGTAGTCGCTCCTTCTATCAGTCAAATTCACGTTAGCCGGTGCCTCTGATGTTTTCCCAAGGAATGATTGGAAAAATGTACTATTCCAGTGGAATCAATAGCCTCGTCCCAACACATGACTTTACTGCTACACTAGTTATTTGCCTGGTTAGAAAAATGGATGTAAAGCTATTTTTATGAACCCCCTATCCAAGGAAACATGTATGTTTTGTTTCAGATTTACATAAATTAGAATAATGCCTTGATTTGTTTATCATCTGTAATGTGTGTTGATGATGTAATGGTTCTCAGCTGTGGAAGCTGAATGTGTGTGCAGCGTCGTCACTGATGCACTCTGACGTTCACTATGATGTTATATGTTTTGAAAAGGAAATTTTTGCTACTAGAACAAAAGATATGGTCAAATATATTAATTACAGTCCAGAACACAGATATCATTTGTGTTATACATGTGACATGGACATTTGAGTAAACTTCTTCGTGAGAATACTAAAAATGTATCTCTGAGGTGTTTTTGTATGACTATAACGTCAAAAAAAATATTAAATGTAACGATGATGAATACAATACAAAAACATGAAAACAAATGCATAATCAACTGAACTACTGTCATTGAGGAGGATCTAGCAGACGCATGGGCAGTTCTTCAGGTGTAGATGGAAGTTGAAGAAGTTAGAAAGGCTCTTTTCCAACAAATTTATTACAGAAACTTTCTATAAACAAAATATGAAAAAGCCAAGGCGAAAATATTCAGTTACTCATAACCACTTGGATATACACTCATTCATCACATGATTTCTGATCCTTTTCAATACAAATACAGTATCTGTCGTACACAGGACTCAGTGTGAAGTTCCCTTTTATAGCTAAACTTTGATAAAAAGGAAATACTGTTGTGACAATAAAACGTTCTACACAGGGCATACTACGGTTACAGTGCGCATGAAGAAAAACATTCAAATTGGCTTTCACACACTCATCGCAATGGAGTTAAGTACTATAGATATGGCAAGGAATGGACATCTTCATAGCTACAGACCCAAGTCGGGTCCGTTCTTCATCAGATCTCCACATCACTTTCTTTATCATTATCATGGTCGCCATCATAAAATTCGTTCGCAGCTTCAGGCCTGCGAGGAAACAGACGTAGTTGGTCAGGATATTCAATATGCAGTCAAGCAGCGAGAGGCCGATGCAAAATTAGAGGTTTCTTTGGATTTACTATTTATATCTGTGTTGTAAAACTTTTTTTTAATAACTACTGACAACATTTATTCCAAATTTCCAGTTAAAACATTTGCAGAAAATGCAAAGAAAACAAGTTTATATTCTAGGGCTGTCAAACAATTAATCGCGATTAATCGCATCCAAAAATAAAAGTTTGTGTTTACATAATATATGTGGGTGCACTGTGTATAATTATTTTATATATAAATAAAAATACACACACATGCATGTATATTTTCAAACTCTATCAAGAGCTTCACCAGACATTAAATAAAGACAAACTGCTTAAAGAAAAAAAAAAATAGTATTGAGTTGTTTAAAAATAAATATTAACTTATAATATAAACTAAAGTCAATAAAAATAAATGATCAAAATGACAATATTTGTATTTAAAATTGTGTATATATATATATAGTATAAGTTTGGGGTCAATTATTATTATCATTTTTTTGCTAAAAAAAATGCATTAAACAAGATAAACAAGAAAGACTTTTACGTTGTTGCCAAACATTCATTTTCAAAATTCAAGTACATTTATTTTAAATATAAATCCTATTTTTAAATAAAATTATCTTTATGCTGTAACTTTCTATTCCTCAAAGAATCATGAAAAAGGGATATAATAGTTTCAAAAACAACTAAACAGATAGAATGATTTCTAAATGATCATGTGACACTAAAGACCAGAATGCCAGAATAAATTACATTGAAAATAACCTTTTTCTATTGTGATATATTTTAAAGTTAAATTGTAATAATAATAATATTTCACAATATATGTGGGTTTTATATGTGCACAATATGTCTTGCTGTGTTTTTGTTCAGAAGAACAGTGTTGGTGTTATAATCACCTAGAGAAGTTCTCTTCGGATCCTCTCTCATCGGGATCTGCCTCATCCGGCCGCTCATAAGTCAGTATATCCGAGGGAACGTCATGGATCTGAACGCTTGGTGCATGATTCAACATCTTCAAGTTCTCAAACACAGTTTGACGAATCTGCTCCAAATACTGCAAAACGAGGTAATAAAGAGCTGGTTAGTGGCCACAGCGCTGAAGAACACCAATGAAACGTTGACGCACCACCTGAGGTTTCAAACAAATACTCCCACCTTTAGACGGATTTCTGCATATGAAACCAGAAACAAACTATCGTTTTAATTTACAAACCCCATTTGGGTAAGCCTGCCCTTGAAAATATTCAAATGCCAGATTTATGTAAAAAAATCAAAAATAAAGTTCAGACGTAAACTTGCAGAAATGCACATGAAATTAATGAAAATGTATTTTAAAAATGCACATGAATTTGAGAATTTGTATTTGGTTTGTTTGCTTTACTGACAGCAGTACAACAGGATCTTCCTAATATCATCTGAATACGAAACATTTTTAATTGATCTTTCATTATTATTAGTTTTACATTAAGATCCTCGACTTGTTATAAAGAGTTTGTGTGTGTGGTCTGAGACGTTCGAACCCTACTGTACGTCAAGACCAGTGTTGGGTAAGAGACTCTAAAAAAGTAATTAATTACCTCTTCAACAGTGTAATTAGATTACTGTACTAATTACTCCTCTCTAAAAAGTATGCAATTACTTTTAATTACTACCGTAATTACTTTCAAAATCCCATATCAATCTCAACCAGCTGAATAATACAAGGATAGACATGAATCTGTTTTAATGCTTTCAAATAAATACTATAAATTGCATGAATTATCCTTTAACTGATCAAGGTGGAGAAGGTTACATTATAAAAACATACATTTTAGCATCAGACAATACATTTTGATGTTAAACCCACTGTTTTATGTCGGATCTCATGACATTTCACACTTTTTTCATACATATTTTACAATAATTCATACAAATTTGTACGAGTGCGGTCGTAATATTTAGACGCCTCATAAAACGCATACGAATCGCTGTGAGATCGGATTGATCTATACACAGTATTTCCCTCAATTACATCAGAAGTAACTTCAATTAAATTAAGAGTAATCCCTTACTTTACCTTTTTTAAGGGAAAAGTAATTAAATTACAGTAACTGATTACTTGGTCAAGACAATAACAATTACACTGTGTCCAAAAACATGTCTTTGCATTTACATTTGTTTTGACCAAACAATATATGCGAGGAAAATAATGCATACTTGTCTAGAGTTTTGGTTTTCTATCCTTGTGCTGACATCTGGGTGAAGTGTGAAGTCTGGAGCAAAATATTCAAAGTATTCTGTGCAGAAGACAAATACAGAGATGAGAAGATATTTTACACACATCAACAGACAACAGTAATGTGGGGCCGTTTTAAAGCAGTGCTTGTAACCTACAGTAGATCAGGGGTTCTCAAAGCAGGGCGTACAACCGCGAAGAAACCGTGTTATACAGACGACAGGCCGCGTTTTTATCATCTGAAACGTGCTGCGACTTATATTTCATAGGGATTTATTTAATGTAGGAAGAAGTAGACACTTAAAGGTTTGTATAGATGTAATTCTCAAGTCTGAGAGACAAGTATACGCCGAGTTTCGGTGCATTTCCAAGAGCCTGAAACGGCAGAAAGTTTTACAAAATTTTACAAAAGCAAAATGTTTTGTTATTTTGAATGTACATATTTTGAAATGTACAAAATCGACCCTTTATGCTACGTTCACACCGGACGCGAATAGGGCGTCAGGCGCGAATGATTTCAATGTTAAGTCAATGCAAAGACGCTTTACGCGCGTGAAAAATTCCTGCGGCGCGAATGAGGCGTGGAGCGCGGCGCGGAAGACGCGAATACGCCTCATTCGCGCGTCAAGTTGGCGCGAATGCCACGAATTGAGCGTTGTGCATTCGCGCGTTTGACGCGAATTCGCGTCTGCCGCCCGAGTTGAAAAATCTGAACTTTGGCGTGAATTCGCGCCGCGTTAACCAATCAGGAGCCTAGCTGCTTGCTCACGTGGTGAAGTGTCTGGATGCTTCAATAAATTATTTTGTTAATATGACTAAATGCATGGTGGGATTATGCACAACAAGCAAATGTTTTATCACTTAAAACATTATTTCTATATAGGAGACATGTTCATTTTTATTCATTCATCTAGAAATAGTATTAGGCTATGTTGTAAAGACAATCAACATGTGCATAAATTCGTGTCTGGACATGAGAGAGAGAAAAAAAATCACAGGACAGGTTAATAACTTTTGAAGGCTGGCTCTATTTATCATCAAAACAAAAATAAATGACAGCTAGATTAGATGGATGAGGGGCCGGGCGAGGGTGATCCTCGCTCAGACGCGGGACAACAGGTCATCAAACTGGGCGCGTGACAGGCGGAAGTACCGCTGACAGCGGCCGTCATCCAGCGCAGCTCCTGGAGCGAGCAAATGGTGAAACTCGCCAAACGGTTCGGCTCCGAAGGGTCCGGTGGACACAAATATACGGCGACGATGATCCCCACGCCGCTGTTCTGCTCTCCAGAGTAAATACAGAGCGGTAACTCTCTTGATGAATGCTCGGTCGACATAAAAACAATGGCCGCCAACGGATTTTGATTCTGACGCGCGTAAATTTCGCTTCAAACTTTACGCGCGCCAGTTTCGCTCTTGACACGCGAATTAACACTAGTGGTCAAGCGTCAAACTAGACGCGTCAGGCTCGAATTTGACGCGCGATTCGCGTCCGGTGTGAACGTAGCATTACAGTTTTGAATGATGAATGATTTTCAATTACTCTCTGTATGCTCATTAATAAGTTTTCCGCTGCTATAAGTAAAAAAAAGCTTTGCTCTCTGAACATCACAGCCTGTTCATCATCAAACTAAAGGTCGACCGATTCATCTGTTTTGCCGATATATCGGTACCGATAGTTGATTGGTGGAACTGTCGTTATCTGCAAAAATCCACACCGATAGTTTTTTCCGGGTTTCGTCTGTTGCTGGAGCGGCTGACAAAAACACACGCAGACCTGTCTCAAATGTTTTATGTCACAATTGTTACCATCTATTTCCATTAGTTTATATCCGGCCGGTCACTTTTATGCATTCATTAGCCGGCGAACTTGCATATTTATAGCTAGTGACGTGATTGCTTTCTCAACATTGATATGTTCAAGCAGCCGACAGAAACAACCCGGTCTCATCCCAAGACGTCATATAACTGACGTTTTGGGACGTCTTTTGACCGTACGTCAATATTCGCCTTTTTAGGGCCCCCTTAAACGTCGGTAGATGAGGTTATGGGATCCTAACTCTACCCCAGACCTAAACCTAACCCGTCACCTAACTGACGTTAAAGGTAAAGCGTCAGTTGTATGACGGCCCGGGATCGCCATCTACCGACGTTTAAGGGGGCCCTAAAAAGGCGGATATTGACGTACGGTCAAAAAACGTCCCAAAACGTCAGTTATATGACTTTTTGGGATGAGACTGTGTTAACAGAAACAAACAAATCAGAAACACATTCGATCTCAGTGTTTTTTTATCACTTCAATATATATTGTTATTTTGATTAGATCATCATCATGTTCTAAAAGAGAAGCAAATAAAGCGAGAGGCTGTACATGTAATATAGGTCTACATTTATTTAATTTTAATACTATGGCCTTTGCAGTTATTTAAATATGGCCATCTTTAAGCATGACTCTATGGATTTATATGAAATGGTAACACTTTATAACAAGATTCCACTTTTAGCATTAACTAAGGTTAAGAAGTGTTGTAGAAGTATTTATTCACTGTTTGTTAATTTCAACATTTAGTAATAACTTTAATACCAGTTACAGCAACAAATAAACATTAATGAACATCAGAAGGTATGTTAAAAATACAGTACAACTTATGGAAATCAAAATCTCTCATATAAACGCTTTCAGCAGTGACAACATAAACAAACGGTACTGCGTGCGCATGTGCATTAATCTGGCCCAAACTTAACTTCCGGCAGACTTGCGGAGACAATCCATAACTAGTAAATAACCTAGTAGCTGGTATTTCTTGCCAGTCAAAGAAAATAAATGTTACCTGGCCAAACTGAAATGTGACACTACCAGACCCGTTGAACAAAAATTGGAGACAAGATGTTTTTCTACCGACGTGTCTGAGTTACCGCAGTGTTAAAAACTGTGGCGAGCGCGACGGCGGGGTTTGATAAGGTTAACATCCTTATTAGCTAGGCTACTTATATGTTTGCTAACCTTTTTTTAAGGTGGGTCTCCACATTGACAGCACGTTGGATGGATCTGTGCAGCGCTGTTTATGATACTAACCATTCAATACACAGACTGGTCCACTGTCAATGTGTTTGCGAGAGAGAGAGAGTGAGAGCGTGCGAATATGCGCTGCACGCAACTCTGTAGTCAATTACAACTTTTCCCATCTTAAATTGTTAAAAACACGGAAATCAATATGTGGCGTCAGCGCTGATAATGTGGTGGGCTGCCACTAATAAATGTATGGGAAACACTGTACCGGTTATCACTCAGATCAGATAAACTAGGCTATTTTAATACCGCCGTCTCCCTCATAGGACACCTTGGCATTTTTATTTTTAAAAATTGCGTTTGCTCCCTAGGTCAGGTTGCACCCCACAGCTCAACAACCTACTCATCACCTTAACTTTCACTGCATTTGTAGTCAATGCCATATTATCCAGTAAACACTAATAAACGAACAGAACGGAAGTTAACTTTGGGCCAGCTCATCACCGTGGCAACGCGTCTGATGAAAGCGTCTATAAGGTCAACCTTTAAAATGTGGAAAGACAGCTTGTAAACAATGTCACATTTACCTCAGAAAAAAACACATTCAGTGACCATAAACTCATTAGTCTCGAGGAACATTTTGCTAAATGTATGTACCATCTTACATATTTGTTATAATCTTTAATGTTCTTCAATAATGCATGTTTGAATAAACCCATACATTTTTTTATAAATGTTTAAATGTTTATATTTCAAAAAAAAGAATTGGAGTAGAAATATAATTATGTAATTTTAAAGCTAGTATTAGAACTATTATTATAAAAACTTCCTTGAGTGTATTAAGTGTGTATTTTGTGTGCAAATTAGTTCATTTTAACCTTCAATATTATAGTAATGTTGTACATAGTGACTCATGTATAGTTTACAAATTATAGAGAGATTTTCCATGTACTGTACCAGATATACATCCAAAATAACCGATATCGAATCGCAAGCTTGTGAATCGAAATTGAACTGAACCGTGAAATTTGTGTCAATACCCAGCCCTAATTATTGCCATAATAAATAATAGTTTCACATCCAAATTCACGCAAATATGGAAACATTTGTTTTTATTTGATTTTTATTTACCGGTATTTTACATTATTTTAAACTTAAGTTTGACCTGGTGTTGCTGTATTATTAAAACGTCCATATTTACAGACGGAGGCCTATTGCGACAATAAAACATGCATATTGTGTCCACTACTCCACACATTGAGTGATCCCTGGCCCCAAAAGTTTGAGAACCCCTGACCTAGAGGACACTAATTCACACAACCATGAGATAATATGCAACAGAAGAACAGAAACATGGAATAATTCCTGATATCTTTTCTCCAGAGTCTTACCACTATATGGTAGTTCATCACTTATGGACTCGTCAACTAGCAAGGATGTTTCAAATGTCCTAAAAATGAAAGCTATGATGCATTAATGAAAATATCAGAAGATAACAGTCAGACAGCAAAGATATTATACACTCAAAAGATTAAAGGGGTCATATTTTTTGATTGTACTATGAAAACTAAAAAGCAAACAATGAAAAAACAAAGAGCAAAGAGCATTCTTCAGAGAAATCTATGGCTGAAACGTTGGCTCTCGGGTCTGTTTTTAAAACATTTTGCACTAGGGCTGTCAAACGATTAATTGCGATTAATCCAACCAAAATAAAAGTTTGTGTTTATATAATATATGTATATATATATATATACATACATATACACACACACACACACACACACACACGCCATGTACATTTAAGAAAAAAATATGATTTATATATAAAATATTTATATATAAATCTATATACAGTATATACATGAAAATATTTCTTAAATATACACAAGCGTGTGTGTATTTATATATATAAAATAATTATACACAGTACACCCACATATACTATGTAAACACAAACTTTTATTTTGGATGCGATTAATCATTTGACAGCCCTACTTTGCACTTTTTTCACTTTTCTTCACATGCAATAAGTGAAATAAAAGGTACATTTCTGATTTATATTTAATGGCTAAAGTTGAGGGGGAAAAAATATATATATCATAGAGAATAGCAGTAGCAGTGTTGGTATCGCCGATGCCTTCTTTCATAAAAACATGCCATTAAACAAATATTTTAAATATAGGCTACTGTTGTTTCTACATTAATTTGGAGGTTAAATGTGAAATTATTAGAAAACATATCAAAAACTTTAATGTTAGGTACGATTAATCGCGATTAATTACAGAAAAATGTGTGATTAATTGCCCAGTATTGTTCTATTTAGAGATTTAAACATAGGTTGGTTTTGTTCTAAGCGAGAGTAAGCGATCATCAAAAACTATTGATCAAAACAAGACCGTTGTTTGAGGTGTAAAGTCAGATGGTCTGAGTGTTAAAAAGTAATCAAGGGATTTAGATAATGGTGGGTTTTATTGTAAGTGAAAGTAAACAATTCTCAGAAAAAAATCAATGAAGATACAATTCAGTTGTCTTAAGAGAAACATAGATGTTGTCAAAGAGTCAGATGAGCGTTTAACGGTTTCAGCATTAAATTTGCAGTCATTTAAGCAACGATATTGCGAAATAAAGCGTATGGCTTTCATTTGAATTAGTAGCATCTTTGGTTCCATGCAGAATTACTATATTGTGAATGAAAATGACTTGTATCATGGTAAAGATTTAGCTTAAAAATGACTAATTTTCGAATTACTAAATCTTCTAAATGACTAAATTTGCCCACCTCTAATAGTTTAAAGAGGGAGCGAGTCAACACTTTAATATGAGCAAACTAGAGGTAACAGTGGCTCTCAAATTAATCGATCGCTTTTTGTTTCATGTGAAAGACGCGCGCGTGCACATGCACTGAGAGGGAGCGCGCGGTGTTTCGACGCACTGTTATAAGGTGTGCATAATTTAAACTACTTATTCAACACGAACAGTAGCTGCGGTTTGGTTTTCATATTGCTGCTCTCCTTCCTGTCACTTCTGAACTGACGGGTTGCCAGATATAACAAAAAGAGCAAAACAAGCCCGTTAAAACAACAGTGTGTGCAGTCTCCGGTTGTACAGGAATACCCTATTGCGTTAAAAACGCAGTATAATAAGCACATGTGGTAAAACAAATATTATAATTATATTATATATATTATAATTATATTATAAACTGATTGATGAAGTAAAGCAATGCATGAGATTGAAAAATTATTTAAAGTTGAAATGCACCTATGAGTTTTAATATCAATCTGTTGTGGGAAGTTCATCTAAAAGTTTGAGTGTTTTTTGTTTACTATATTTTGATATAAAAATAGTTTACCAAATAAATAATTTACCAAATAAAATAAAAATAAAACAAGGTGACATACTTTTCATTTCTAAAGAATTTGGGTTTATTTATTATACAAAGCCCTTTTTGTCGATTTTTTTTTTGTTTTTTTTTTTGAGGATAACTATATAAAGAACTATATCGTTACCATGAAATAAAATTAGTCATATCGTGAAACACAATTTTGGTCATATCGCCCACCCCTACTGTACATGATATTATTAAACAGGTTCAAAATGTGATTGGACTTGACAGCAAACCCAGAGCCTATGTGTTCATTTGTGTTCGTTTTAATGCCATGCCAGCTTCTTTGGCTATTTTCATAGCGATATAAAATTATGGTAAAACTATATCAGGTGTGCACAATTTATTTTTGCAAAAAAAAAAAATTTGTGTTGGCAACAGAGGGCACTATTGCTCATTTCACATTCAAAAGACACAGCATGGACATCAGAGAGAGAGAAGTATAATATGACCCCTTTAAAATGAACTTTTTTCTCTTTTGATGATTTCTAAATGTAGATAAAATAATAAATGAATGAACGCACCAGCATCTAGCAACGTTTCGCACCGTGTAGCCGCCTCCACCCAGCACAAGCAGCGGGATTTTGAAGCCCTTCACGAACTCCACACATTCTCTACAAATACACATGTTTCAAAGGAGATTATCAAGGAGTTTTACATTCAAGATTTCAGAATACTGTGTGTAGTTTGATGTGATGATTTGGAGTCTCTTACCCATGACCTCGTATGCTGAGATTGAAGCATCCTAATCGATCACATCCCAGAGAATCTGCTCCACACTGCAGACGGGACAAGAGAGATGAGCAACCGATACAACGGCACAATATTACGCCTGACGGAGAGTGTGTGCCCTCACCTGGAGAACGATACAGGTCGGCTGATAGAAGTCCACCACCTGCTTGATGACTGGCTGAAACAGCTGTCTATAGCCTGACAATACAAAAGAAAAAACTGCTTAAATCCTCTTGCTCATGTTTGTATGAAATCCGCTTGACCCAGAGTGCGTTTTCACACATAAAGCTTTTTTTCCTTTTCTACCTGTCCAAAACATCGTTTCTTTATTCAGTCAGTGAAAGTGATTGAATATACACTCACCTAAAGGATTATTAGAAACCCCATACTAATACTGTGTTTGACCCCGTTTCACCTTCAGAACTGCCTTAATTCTACGTGGCGTTGATTCAACAAGGTGTTGAAAGCATTCTTTAGAAATGTTGGCCCATATTGATAGGATAGCATCTTGCAGTTGATGGAGATTTGTGGGATGCACATCCAGGGCACAAAGCTCCCGTTCCACCACATCCCAAAGATGCTCTATTGGGTTGAGATCTGGTGACTGTGGGGGCCATTTTAGTACAGTCAACTCATTGTCATGTTCAAGAAACCAATTTGAAATGATTCCAGCTTTGTGACATGCATTATCCTGCTGGAAGTAGCCATCAGAGGATGGGTACATGGTGGCCATAAAGGGATGGACATGGTCAGAAACAATGCTCAGGTAGACCGTGGCATTTAAACGAAGCCCAATTGGCACTAAGGGGCCTAAAGTGTGCCAAGAAACATCCCCCACACCATTACACCACCACCACCAGCCTGCACAGTGGTAACAAGGCATGATGGATCCATGTTCTCAATCTGTTTACGCCAAATTCTGACTCTACCATCTGAATGTCTCAACAGAAATCGAGACTCATCAGACCAGGCAACATTTTTACAGTCTTTTGTCGCGTCTTTTTCCTATTTGTAGTGGAGATGAGTGGTACCCGGTGGGGTCTTCTGCTGTTGTAGCCCATCCGCCTCAAGGTTGAGTGTGTTGTGGCTTCACAAATGCTTTGCTGCATACCTCGGTTGTAACGAGTGGTTATTTCAGTCAAAGTGTCTCTTCTATCAGCTTGAATCAGTCGGCCCATTCTCCTCTGACCTCTAGCATCAACAAGGCATTTTCGCCCACAGGACTGCCGCATACTGGAGGTTTTTCCCTTTTCACACCATTCTTTGTAAACCCTAGAAATGGTTGTGTGTGAAAATCTCAGTAACTGAGCAGATTGAGAAATACTCAGACCGGCCCGCCTGAACGCTCAAAATTGCTTAAATCACCTTTCTTTCCCATTCTGACATTCAGTTTGGAGTTCAAGAGATTGTCTTGACCAGGACCACACCCCTAAATGCATTCAAGCAACTGCCATGTGATTGGTTGATTAGATAATTGCATTAATGAGAAATTGAACAGGTGTTCCTAATAATCCTTTAGGTGAGTGTATGATATTTAGTCCATATTTCACCCAGTAAAACAACAGTGGCTTTGCTGTAGCAGCTACATGATCTGAGTGAAACTACGCTTTTTCAGACCTGTACGTTTAACTGTATAAAGACTCAAATGTTAATATTAGCCCATAAATCAACTCACTCTGGTCATCAATGCCGTCTCTCAGTGGGACATTGAGGCAGTAGTAGCGACCGCTCTCAGCTCCCACCTCATACATATCACCTTAACACACACACAAAACAACAAAAACAGTGTATTATCAGTATAGCGTCTCCGTGTGTTTGTGAACATTAAGCTTCTTTTTAAAACATGAATTCATCTTTTCGCATGAATGTGCGATTAACAGCTAAAACCAGGGCTCTGAACCGGTTCAAGATACGGAAAAAAAAAATACGTAAACGAGCGAAATATTAATAGGAACATAAACAAAAAACAATCAAGTTTCATCAATCAGAACAGAAATGCTTATTTAAAATGACCATTGACCGATTATATATAATAACGTTATTTTATCGTTCTATTTAATATTTTAGTTTGGCAGTCAACCAATCATGAATTTAAATAGTACGGCCTATGCAAATGTGACAGCATCTGACGTGAACAAAATGTGAGTGAAAAGTCGTCATAGATAAGTCACTGGCATTAGCTTTTGGACCGTTGAAGCAGTTTTAGTGAAAATAAATGGCAGATTATATCCAGCATGGTGTGCTTTAACCTGCAATTTCCGCTGGTTTCAGCATAGAATCGCTAGTATTAAGGAAGTAAATAGATAATAATAATAAACCAATTTGTATTATGACCATGTATACTCGGAAACTTGCATGTGCCCTGGCTAAACCAAAGCGCTCAACAATGTAAAGATGACTTATATCAGAAAGTAAGAACATCATACCAGTTCCTGGGAAAAAGTAGTTCCCGTATTTGTGGAAGGATACAGTCATGACCCTGTCTGTGAGATAAAATGCTTCCTGTACACCATCACCATGATGAATATCAATGTCAATGTAGAGCACACGTGGATGATACCTATCAGAGACAGACACAGTGAAGATATGTAGAGATAAAGCGCACATGTTCATTCATTTCTCCATTTAAACTGTTTCATAACACATTTAGCTAATTCTATCATTATAGATGCAGTTTTTACAAAGTCATATTAAAAGTGTCATTTCCACACCACTATCATCACCAAAAGCAACTGCAATAATAAAAAGACTGTTGTCAAACAGGTTTCAGGCACTAACACAGGTCAACTTTTCAATCTCAAACTCATGTCATTGGTTGAGCCAATGTTTTATGTCTGCCCTATTCACTACAAAACAAACAGGTTGCAGTTTCGTTTGATACTCCGAGTAGTGCAGAAATGAGAATTAATCACAGGTGTGCCCAAAATAATCAAATTAAAATGCAAAACATCAGGAGTATCTCGTTATAAGGTGTGATGTCACTTCCTGCCCATCTCTCACTTACTTCAAGAGTTCAAGAATACTGATGACGATGTCATTCACGTAGCAAAATCCAGACGCCTGAAAATAGAAAATAAAATCATGTAAAATCATTTATACACACAGGATGTTCTTCCAAAGTGCAGGTAACTGTATGTCTTTGTTGTATGAAAGATGTGAAGAGAAATCAGATGCTTACCTCAAACTTCTTAGCATGATGTAAACCTCCAGCCCAGTTTATGGCAATGTCACATATCTATACAACGAACAACTGAATTAGTCTTCATCAAAAACAATGCAGGAATTCAAAGAGTTCAAGATCTGTACTAATCTGTACCACTAATCATGTTTTCTTTTCTTTTTTTAATTACATTTAATTAAAAAAAAAATACAGGATACGAAATATAGGGTATTTGCAGGGTTTTGAAATCAAATGAAAGGCTTTTTCAGACCTTTTTAAGGCCTGCAGAAATAAAATGAACACTGTAAGCGGGTAGAGCAACGTCTATAGTGACATACTACACCAGACAATGACTAACAACAAACCGCTTTACAGTTCAAATAAAGGGTGGACAAAAACAAAAGTTCAATCAAATGACAAACATCACATTTCAGCCTTTTATTAAGAAACATATTTAAGGAATGAATATATATAGTACCGTGCAAAAGTCTTAATTTTATTTTTAATATTTTCACAAATAAATAACTGTAAAATATCATACTGCAGGACCAGTTTTGGACAGACAACCTTCTCTCTAAAGAGTTCTAAACTCTGGAACTCTTTACCTTTTGAAGTCAAGACTGTGTCAGACTTTAAGATGTTCATTTCCAGGCTGAAAAATTGGTTAAAAATAAACCAAAACTGTACTCATTTTTAACTACATTTAATTATTAGAGTTGTATATGATATGTATGTATGCTTATTAGTATTTTTATTATTAGTATTATTTTTTATTATTATTTTTTTTTTTTTTTTATTGAAGTAGCTAATCATGTAAATTGTATTCTGTATAAAAGCCCTTCCAGGGACAGGAGTTGAAAATTAGCTATAGCTATAAACTTTATATGCAACACTTCAGTGACATGCTTGATCTTGACACTATGTTTGTTTGCATTGTCCCTGTCAAATAAATAAATACATAAAATAAATAAAACTGGTTTAAAACCATTTTTTTGTATTTTTATGTAGTGTGTCAGAAGGTAAAATCCATTCCCAAACATTCCAGGTAGAAAAGAAGAAGATTTCCAATGTGAACAATTCATGTGTAAGCGCATCACTTCCACCATCTGACCTTGTGGTTTAACTGAGTTGCTCCTTGCAAGGAGGCTCCTGTGTATCTCGAACAAAACTCAAACAGACCTGGAAAGACAGGACTAAGAAAAAAATGGCAAATTATTAGAAAAGTCTTATACAATTAAACATTTAAAAGAAGAACTATATGTTATAGCAAGAGCTGCTACTTATGTTCACATTCATTCAAATACATTTGATGAAAACTTTTCAATCTTAAGCAAACATTTTTATAAAGACTTCAACAATGAAATGATTTTAAAATAGTTAATTATAAAGGCATGTATATATATAAATGGGAAGACTCACCAGTCATCTCCTACGTTGAAGGCGTTGAGACTCTTGGTGAAGCCCTGCATGTTGTTGGGACTGACCTTCTGCAGGAAGTCGATGTAATCTTCCGAGTGGAACCGGCACATGTCATGCTGGGACGCCTTGTATGGTTTGAAAACCTGAACAGAGAGAGAGCTTTGCTCATGAGCATCTGATGTGATTCGCTTCTTGTCAGAGAAATGTGATTGGACTAAACAAGTGTTGAACAGGGGTGTGTTTCCCGAAAGCATCGTTAGTAGGGCTGTCAAACGATTAATCGCATCCAAAATAAAAGTTTGTGTTTACATAATATGTGTGTGTACCGTGTACAGTGTTGGGTAAGTTACTCTAAAAAAGTAATTAATTACTAGTTACTAATTACCTCTTCAACAGTGTAATTAGATTACTGTACTAATTACTCTCTTTAAAAAGTATTTCATTACTTTTAATTACTAATTACTTTCAAAATCCCATATCAATCTCAACCAGCTGAATAATACAAGGATAGACATGAATCTGTTTTAATTCTTTTAAATAAATACTATAAAATCGCATTAATTATCCTTAAACTGACCAAGGTGGAGAAGGTTACATTAAAAAAACATACTTTTTAACATCAGACAATACATTTTGATGTTAAAGCCACTATTGTTTTATGTCTGATCTCATGACATTTCACGCTTTTTTTCATACATATTTTTCAATAATTCACACAAATGTGTACGAGTGCGGTCGTACAATTTAGACACCTCATAAAATGCATACGAATCGCTGTGAGATCGGATTGATCTATACACAGTATTTACCTCAATTACATCAGAAGTAACTGTAATTAAATTACAGATAAATGACGAGTAATCCCTTACTTTACATTTTCAAGGGAAAAGTAATTAAATTACAGTAACTAATTACTTAGTAATTAGTTACACCCAACACTGACCGTGTATAATTATTTTATATAAATACACACATGCTTGTATATATTTAAGAAATATTTTAATGTATATAGATTTATATACAATTATATATATAATATTTTATATATAAATAATATTCTTTTCTTAAATATACATGCATATTACTCCACCACGTGCACGATGTCATAAAGCAATGTGGTTGAACGACCACTTTGCGACAATATGGTATCGGGAAACAGCCGTGACTAGCTAGTTGATTTCTTCAGCGATGCGTCACACTATGACGGGAAACACACCCCAGACTGATCATACCATCATCTTCTTGTAGAGTCCATAATGCAGGACAAGGCTGTGTGTGAGAGACAGTCGGTGAGGCTTCATTGGGTGTCCAGCACCTGGAGCAAATAAAACAAGAGGTATAATGTTACAAAAGTGCTTTCTGTAGTTCACCTGATGATCTGCCCCTAAATATCACACCCACAGCTAATGGTGTTGACTAGCTGGGGTTGTCTATTACTCATCATTTTTGGTGTCCTTTACATGAAAATAAATTGTTAACCTATTACATGCAAGTAAAGTGTATACTTCGATGTTTCAAATAACTTCTGTTCAAATAAAATGTCAAAATATGGGTGAAATAATGTCCCAAACTGCAAAATTGTAATTTAGTGTAATGGTCCGAACTTTAAATTTACCATTACATCTATGAATAAATAAACAGACAACTTCTGTATTTGTTTTCATTGCATGCTCAAACAAGTGTTGACTGTGATTTGTTTTATTAAAAACGCTACGTTTTGTTTTTTATTAGAAAATTTCTATTTACGTTATTGTTTTTCTTAAGTATTGAAATAACCAGGAGACTTCTGTCCCGAATATGCAGTTTGTAAGAGGTCAGAGTAACAGGAAACATTTTGAAATCATATAAAAAAAAAACTGAGGTTACACTTTATTTTAAGGTGACGTAGGTACTGAGTAATAATAAATAACTACATCACTGTACTTATTAACGTAGTTCCATGTTACTACATGCATTTACTAGTAATAATAGCAAATTATCTATAATTACGAGTAACTAACCCTAACTCTACACTCAAAAAAATGAACAATTAAGGTTGTGCACTTTTTACATAATATATTTAGTTTACTTATAATAATTGTGTTTTTTGACTTGAAATTTATATATACATATACACATATATATATATATATATATACATATATATATATATATATAAATTATATATATATATATATATATATATATACATATATTAAGGTCCACGCAATTATGTCTCAACTTAATAGTAAAAAATCCTAACGCGTCATCTAAACACAAACCATTTATGTTATGTAAAAAAATCTTACATCCAGAGGGTGGCAGTATAGTGCGAGTCAACTGCCATTTCGCCCGAACTTAATTTGATTGTGTTCAATCTGCTTAAATAAATGTAACATTTAAGTTTACTTAATCCGCTTGTGCTGGATTACATGATTGATATGTGTTGCATTAACTGAAACTGGGCGGTGCTTTTTAGTTCCCAGCATGCTTTGTATATGGTTGAATTAAGAGAGAATAAATGTTAAAATTAAGTGTTAATATATGTTTTTTTGAGAAAATGGGAAAAGGGGAAGACTTGATAGTGTGTAATTGTGGGTAATGTTCAATTACATTGGAATTAAAAGAACCATTTAAATCACATTGTGGAGAATTTGATTTGGCTGTGGACTGATTTTATTTGGCTATGGACCGTTTGCATTAGCATTTAAGATACTAATATCTGCTACTGCTAGAAAATAGCTAGCTTTAGTCAAACAATTTAATTATGCGTCACTAAAATAAATGAAATATTAATGAACTATCAAAATACCTGAATCATGTCAGGACGCCTTTAAAAAAATCACCTTGAGACTACTTTAATAGGATCGCTTAATATGACTTAATTCCATGATGTTGATGTTACATAAACGAATTATGTTTGTTTAATGTAACCCGGTTTTGTGGAATCTGTTGACGAAAAAAAAATAATTAAAGCCAACATATCATTTTTTTTGAGTGTATAGAGTTATGGATAATTACTCGCAATTGTGCATCATTTATTATTAGTAGTAGTATAGTAAATACATGTAGTAACATGTAACTACGTCATCTTAAAATAAAGTGTTAAAACTGATCAATCTACAGTCTGTGATATCATCATTTCAGTGTAACAAACAAAAAAAATCTTCTAAGCAATATTATTAAAACTAATTTGACGATACAGATTTAATACTAAAAACACTGCAAAAACGGAAACAATGACAATACTAGTTTTGACGAAACGGTAAGAATGTCGTGTATTTTCTTCCTTGACCAGCAATAATGACCACTGACGACTTGAATTGAATAAACTGAACTGTTTACTGAAGTTTCTGAACTTGAATCATTAGATACAGCGCTCGCACATGAAAACAATCTCTTTTTCTTTTTTTTTCTCACATACACTGATGCATTATTGGTAGAATTCTCTTAAAGCTGAACACCCCCATTAATGTCAAACTGTTTCTGTTATTATTAAAGATAACAAATTCACATTTCTATTCTGATTAATTCACAACATCCTCCCCTCCATGAACAAATGTTCATCAACTTAAATCTCTAATGCATAAAGCAATTGAACGGGTCTCTTCAACACAGTCCCTGTGGATGTACGCAAAGCACAGGATCTAACCTTGCCATCTCTGCCTGGAAACAGCTCTTCAATCTTTCCCAATTTCCAGGTTTGTCTCGGCATATTGACATCTCCTATGAGCACAACGTCACCCATTTTCAACTGAGTAGGTTTCTGCGTGTTGCAGGAATGTGCAGATTTCAGATCCAGTAGATAATCCCTCCTCCAACGATTCCACAGGTTGGTCATGAGTCGGTTTCTGTATCTCCACCTTCTTGTCATATCACCCTTACTCACAGTGGGATGATCATAGTCGGCTGGAAATGGTTTTGGAGGTAGTGAAGTGAGTCGTTCACCAACTAAGAAATGTGCTGGCGTTAGTGGCTGCGGCTCATCAAGCTCATTGTGAACAAAAGTGAGAGGTCTGGAATTCAGTATGGCTTCTACTTCTGCAAGAAGCGTAGACATTTCTTCAAATGTGAGCGATGCCTTTCCTAGCACCTTCCTCATGCTCATTTTCACAGACCTTACAAGTCTTTCCCAAAATCCACCCCACCAGGCAGCTCGTTCTACAATGAAACGCCAAGTTATTCCCTTTCCTGAGAAGTATTCCAGGATTTGTGGATCTTTGATGGCTTTCCACAGCTCACTAAGGTCTTGGTTTGCTCTTTTAAAGGTTTTGGCGTTGTCCGAATAGATGACTTTACACAACCCTCTTCTGGAAATAAATCGCTTGAGTGCTAACAAGAAACTCTCTGTCGACTGACTTGAAACCAGTTCTAAATGCACCGCTCTCGTGACAGCACATGTAAACAGAGCAACATAAGCCTTGCATAATGCACGATCACCCTTCACATACAGTGGTCCTGCAAAGTCTATGCCAGTCACTTCAAATGGTGGTTTCTCAGATACTCTGTCCCTTGGCAATGGAGCCGTGTCCTGCTGTGCGGGCTTGACTTTGAATCTCTTACACACAGTACATTTTGACAAAACACCTTTAACGATTTGTCTGGCTCTCAAAATCCAGTATCTACTTCTTGTTTGCACTAGTGTGTCTCTCAAACCAGAATGCATGATGAATTCATGGTTGTACTGGACCAGCAACTCACAATATCTGTCTTTGTTGGGCAAAACCCATGGATGTTTCTCTCTGTAGCTGAAGTCTGACTGTTGGAGTCTGCCTCCAACACAGAGCAATTCGTCCTCGTCCAGAAAAGGTCTTAAATCTCTGATTTTTGAGTCTGCGTTCAGTGTCTTTCCAGCTTTCAGCGAACTGATTTCAGGACTGAAGCTTCTTTCTTGTGTCAACTTTATCCAATACTTTTCAGCTTCAAACATTTCATCTGCAGTCAACTCACCACGCATCTTGGAGCTTGAACTGGCATTATGCACAAACCGCTTAATCCAAGCAGTAACTCGCAGAACTCGCTTTAGCTTACTGTACTTCATTAAGTCCACAACAGGTTCCTTTTCTCGTTTTTCACCACTGCTGAGTTGCACCACAATCTGCTGATCTTGTGTTAACTCACTAACCACAATTTCGTCACTTGTCTCTTCTTCACTTTCTTCCAACGGATTCAATGTAGTCAGAAATGAAGGTCCGTTCCACCAAATCTCACTTTCCTTCAGGTTAGCTACAGTCAGACCTCTGGTGGGAAGGTCTGCAGGATTGAACTTGCTCCTACAGTGAGACCACATTTCAGGATTGGTTAAAAGCTGAATTTCTGACACTCTGTTTGCCACAAACTGTTTCCATTTGTGAGCTGGACTGCGAATCCACTGCAGCACAATCATCGAATCCGTCCACATATGAACTTGATGAAGCTCCATATTCAGAGGCTTTAACAGACTGTTTCCGAGTCTCGCTCCAATTACTGCTCCCATCAGCTCAAGACGGGGCAGTGAGATCTTCTTCAATGGGGCTACCCTGGACTTTGAAGCAACGAGGCATGTTGTTTTTGTTCCATCATCAGCTACTCGAAGCAGGTAAGCAACAGTGCTATAAGCTTTCTCGCTTGCGTCACAGAACACATGGAGTTGATGTGCGTTGTGTCTATGCATGCATTTTGATCCATACCAACGAGGAATGTGTATGTGATGGATCTGTGGTAGCTCTGCACACCATCCTTGCCATTCTTGTGCAAGATCCGAGGGCAGCTCCTCATCCCAGCCAAGTCCTCGTATCCACAGCTCTTGGAAAAGACATTTTACTCGCACAGTAAATGGAGTCAGAAACCCTATTGGGTCGAATATGCGAGCAGATAGCTTTAGAACACTTCTTTTAGTATTCTCTCTCTTCGCTACAGCGTCCAACAGTGCAGTCAGGTCAAAAACAAATTCATCTGTTTGAGTTCTCCATACCAAGCCTAGTACCTTCAGCACTGATCCATGCGTTTCTGTCTCCTCAGCAGGTTCACTCATTGTCTCCTTCCATTTTTCCTTCAATGCAGCACAGTTGGTTGTCCATTTGCAAAGATTCATTCCAGCTGCAGACATAATCTCTTTTGCACCAGTAGTTATGTGGAAAGCATTCTCAACATCACTTGCACTCGAGATTAAGTCGTCAACATAAAGTGATTCTCTGATGATCCTTACTACTTCAGGAAATTGGTGTTCATATTCCTTCAGATGCCTTCTTACTGTAGCCGCTAGGAGGAATGGGCTCGGGGACACTCCAAACACCACTCTTGTCATCCGCAGTACACGTAGCCTTTCACCTGCGTCTTCATGAGGCAGTGCAGTGAACCATAGGAATCTCACTGCATCTCTATCCGTCTCAGCAAGAGAAATCTGCAAGAAAGCCTTTTCAATGTCTGCAGTAAAAGCAATCTCATTCAGTCTGAATTTGATCAGTATGCCAAGCAGATCTGGATTCAGGTTAGGACCAGTAAGTAGACAGTCATTTAATGATGGAACCCCAACTTCATGTGATGAAGCATCAAATACTACTCTGAGCTTTGTGGTTACCTTGTCCTCTCGAAGAACAGCATGATGAGGCATGTAATACTTTACAGCGTTTGAAGATGATCCATTCTCCACAACATCTTCGACAATGCCCTGCTGAAGGTAATCATTCACCACTTCATTATATCTGTGATACATTACCACATCTGACCGCAACCTCCTTTTCAGTCCTTCAAATCTTTTCTTTGCGATTCTGTAGTTATCTGGGAGCTCTGGTTTGTCAGGTCGCCATGGCAGCTCAACTTCATATCGCCCGTTCTTATACTGAGTAGTTTTTTCAAACATGCGAAGAGCATCCTCTTCTTCAGGGCTGTTGGACTGCTGCATGGTAATGCCAAGGGATTCGGTCTCCCAGAAGGCCTTCAAGCGTTCTGAAACCAGTGCGTCTTCATCGATATGGATGTGCATGCATGCTGCGTCGGAAACACTGGACATTGTGACTGGTCCCTGCACTGACCATCCAAAAATACTCTCAACGGCCACCAGTGCATCTGTGATTCTTTCCACTTGGCCTGACACCACATGCCAATAATAATCTGCACCAATCAGGAGAGACAACTCTGTATCACAAGTGCCTGGGTCTTGATAGTCTGCCAGCTGCAAGCCTTTTCGTTTCATTTCTGCTTGGATGTGCTCACCTGGAATCTTCATCACAGCAGTGCACACTTGTGGAGTTTCGAGAGCTTCCACTTCCACTTTCTGATCTTTGTTCCAGATGCTTTGCAGAGTTACCTTCACTGTGTTGCGCCTGGATGTTGCTGGTGCTGTGGATCCGAAGGTATGAAGAGTGAACGTTTCTTGCTTCATCACAGGTAATTTTAAAGCTCTCACTGTGTTCTCGCTGATGAAACTTCTCTGGCTGCCACCGTCCAATAAGCAGCGAATGCTTTTACGTCCACCAGGTCCTTCTGCCCACGCTCTTACAGTCTGAAGGAGCACTGTGTTCTGCTTATCGGACTGCATTTTAACAGAATGGGAAGCAAATGAAGAAACTACATCATCTTTATCGTCGATGTCTGAAGTGGTTGTTTCTCCTTTCTCACACACAGTGCTATGATGCCTGCCACCACACACAGTACAGGACACTTTGGCTTTGCAGAATCTTGCTATATGCTTCTGTCCAAGACAAACAAAGCATCGTCCCAGTTTCATCAATTTTGCTTTTCGTGCAGCAATTTCAGTTACTGTACACAGTTCTGTTTTGTGCGCTGCGCTATCACAGAAAAGACAGTTTGGTATTTTTTGACTAGAGGTTTGCAGCACTGCAGCTGATGGCATGTTATGTTTTTTCTGCTTCATTTCAATTAATGTCTCTGGTCTTTTAAATGGTTTGTGATAGCGCTGGCTGTCTTTGGAATTACCTGACTTAATCAGTTGCATTGTTCTTTCTCTGCTCAAAATCTCGTTCTGCAGAAATTCCATAACTTCTGAGACTTTCCATTCATCACTGGATCCTCTTTGTCGACTGTACTGAAGTGCAATGTCTTCCGGAATCATTTGTAGCAGAACAGGGCATAACAAGCTGCCATATGCTTCTGATGCAACACCCAGCGATTCTAAGCTACGAATCTGTACTTCACATTCATCATAAAGTTGTCTCAAAGCACTCACGTCGTAGGATTTCTTCACTGGGCAGAGATTCAACAACTTGGTCATGTGCGCATTAATGAGCAGATCTTTTCTTCCGAACCGGTTCTGAAGCAGATCGATCGCGTGATCGTAATTGCTGTCTGTCAACATCAGTCCCGCTATAGCCTTTGAAGCAGCGCCGGCTACATATGTCTTTAAGTAATTAAACTTCTCTGTTTTGCTTAGCGCCTCATTTCTGTGAATGGCCGTTTCAAACTGATTCCAAAAGTCCTGCCACAAGCTAATGTCACCGCTGAACTTGTTGATGATTAACTTGGGTAACTTAACTGTTTGTCCGCGCTGCGCTGGTACTGCATCACGCGGCCTGCTATCAGTGTTTTCCCGAACTCTCTGCATCACGCGCCGCACGCGGGCTTTCGCGCTGATGACTCGCTGGCCATACTCCTCAGCGTCGACGACTTCATTTTCAAGATCCTCCACATCTGTATGCTCCTCTATTTCGTGATCTAACTCCAGCAGCGTTTCCTCTTTTGCAGATAACATGGCTAACAGTTCACATAATCTGTCAACGACTGGATCTTCCTTGCTAACCTCCGTTTCTATGTCTTGCAAAAGTCTCGTCGTGGAACCGCGCACAGCTCTCCGTTTTCTGTGTAGTCTTTCAAGTCGCTCCGCCATTTCGGATGTTGCTTGCAAGTTATCCCGGGTTTCGGCACCAAAGAATGTCGTGTATTTTCTTCCTTGACCAGCAATAATGACCACTGACGACTTGAATTGAATAAACTGAACTGTTTACTGAAGTTTCTGAACTTGAATCATTAGATACAGCGCTCGCACATGAAAACAATCTCTTTTTCTTTTTTTTTCTCACATACACTGATGCATTATTGGTAGAATTCTCTTAAAGCTGAACACCCCCATTAATGTCAAACTGTTTCTGTTATTATTAAAGATAACAAATTCACATTTCTATTCTGATTAATTCACAACAAACAAACCATGATCATTCAGTCAGTGTAACACATACATTTATGTAAAAATTAAATAATGTACTTATTCTCGGTCGTACTTATTAAATTATTTGTGAAATACAAAATAAATGTGGACCTACTGAATTCAATTAGATTTTACATGAATTTTATTTCCTCCTAATAAAACCGTACTGCTGAAAAAGGGGTAAAACCTAGTAGTTTGAAGGATATTAGCAAAGAATAAAGTTTGATGCAATTAATTACCATTTGTAATGTCTTTAAATTATTGTTTTTCTAAATTTCTGACGATTTTTTTTTGTATATAAACTATATTTAAACTGAATGACATTTTAGTGGCTGTCTTCTGTAAACTGTGGAAAAACTTTATGGTAGATATTTTTTTTTTTATATTTTTCTCAGAACAACTATAAACTCATTCTAATGTAAAGAAATAAAGATAACATTTGAAGAGGTATTATATAATGCTTGAAAACCCATGTTCAACCACTTGTAAATGTAATTACAGAAATTAATTGCAGCTGTAATTCCTTGCAGGCAAACGTAAGTATAGTTAAGCGCAACTAATATAAAGTGGGACCGGATCTGACTTACTGTTGCCAGATTCTGTGATATTGATCATACAGTTATTAATTCTTACATGCAGTGCCTCTTATAAACAATATATTACAAGACACTATATGCTTAAAACAGGTTTTAACAATGAATCACAAATAGTTACACATATAATCTCTCTTATTTTATGTGAACTGTATTTCAACTTACTATGATTTTTCTACAAGTCCACCATGACTATATTTGCCAATGACTGTGACTAATGACACAAAGAAGTTTTAAACATTTGAAAACTTTTGAATATTGTCCAATCAAGAAGATTTGAACAGGATCACCAGGTTTTTCATGTCAGCTTTAATGTTGCAACACAACATAATCATATGTGCGTCTTAATGAAAATTATAATGCTGTATTAAATTTATGAAAAGCACAATAAAAGCTCTTTTTTAAACTTTTGGTTCCTGCTGTATAGTGCACAAATGTGCAAAACATGCATAGCGTGATTTTTTTAGCTACCAGTTTAAGATCAAATCTATCAAACGTCCCTTAGAAAAATAAACAGTGAGCATTTGCAGTGTGTTCATTGATTAGCCACATCTGCTAACAGACACAGATGAGATACATCTTACCATAGTGAAAATTCCCCACGTCTGGGTCGTAGAAATATGCCGTTCGGGTCGACATTTCTTCACAGAGCCTAAATTAAAAAAAAAAGGGCGGTTTCCGACACAATGAAATAATTGTTTATTATTATTTACTTTCTGCACCCAACTGTCGCCATCTTCATTACAGAACCGGAAGAACTCCCTCAGTCTTCTTCGTGGCTCCTGCTGCTGCTGCTATGAGGAGATTGTGGAGCACAGCGCCACCTGACAACTAGTTCAGTTCGTTACAGTAGCACTAGCATAACATGCCATTTTGAAACATTATTATTATTGAATAATATTGATGAAAGGGTGAAGTTTTGGCTGGCTAGAATGGTCCAGGGCTTCCCAAACATCTGTTATCTGAACGCATTTGATAAAATATTAGTAGCCAACAACCCCTTAGACTTAGTCAACATTTCCATAATTTATATGTTTATGGTTCTCTTGTGGAATGGTTACATGCCATGCAGATAAATAAACTATTACATTTTTTTTTTAATTAATTGCTAACGCTTCATTACTATCATGAACTAATCGTGGGCAATACATTTGTTGCTGTATTTGTTAATCTTTGCTAACAATAGTGAATAATAAAAATACAGCTGTTCTGTGTTTGTTTATGTTAGTTCAATAACTATGTTAACAAATAGGCTACAACTTTTGATTTTAATAATGTATTAGTAAATGTAGAATTTTACATAAAGATTAATAAATGCTGTGGAATATTGTTATTTCTTAGTTCATGTTAACTAAATGTAGTTAACTAATGTTAACTAATGAAACCTTACTATAAAGTGTTACCAATAATTTCACTTTATTTTGATTTGATTAGATGTTTTATTTTGTTGATTTAAGGTATGTCTGCAAGATTTGGCCCCCAAAAATATACTGTGACTATCCACAAGTTTCCTACGCCCCATGAGGCCTTGCGTCAAAAGTGGGCGCGACTTCCGGTTGGAAGTAAACAAAGGGCGATTTGACATGCTTGACACTCGTTCATTCAACAGTTGACAGTCATTCAAGTTATAGCGATCCAAACTAGCTAACGATGTGGGAACACAACCTCAACGAAATTAAAAAGGGTGAAATAACAGTCCCTCCGCAGTAGTTTATTGGGAGTATTATAATAACATTATTAATAATCAATACTCATCAAGGCATGGTGACAGACAGTTGTGCGAGCTGACAAACAATTAAAATAAAAAATACACACTTAGTCATTGTGCTTTGGAGTTTATTCAAAATTATAAATGAATGTGCTGCTTGAATACATTAACTGGCACATTTGGTATTCTGTCAACAGGCTTTGATCCTGAGTTTAGGTGTAACATCAGTAGCGAACATCCAAACACATGCTGATAGAGTTTATAGAATATTAAGAATTTAAACAAATGTACACAGGAAGATTCGTCGTCTTTTGGGAGGTGATGGAAACTACAGTCGTTGGCAGGATCACTGATTTCGTTTTCAGCTTATGTTCAAAACAATCACGTTTAAGCCACTGAATTAGTTTAGTCCGGTTATACATACAACCGCGAACAGCACATGTTGTCCCTGAGCTCCGTAACGACATCTCTCATAAAGATTTCCCAGATAGCAAACTGACATTGAATCAACGTGGAAATATGACATCGAAACAACGTTGATCTGACATTGTTTTGCTCATCGAATTAACGTTGAACCAACGTCAGACGCGTCATTCTTTCAAAACTAACGGAAAATCAACTTGAAATCAACGCGTTGTTTCAACGTTATGAAAGTAAACCAATTTTCGATTTTCATTTAGCTTTGAAGAATGCCGCGTCTGACGTTGGTTCAACGTTAATTCGATGAGCAAAATCAACGTTGTTTCAATGTCATGAGAGACGTCGTTTCCACGTTGATTCAATGTCAGTTTGCTGTCTGGGTTGCGTCTTTAAATAGTAAAATAATTCTCCGAAAAACAGCTAGCCTCTTTGCTAACTAACACACAAAATACCATTGGAATGCTACTTCCGCCGCGTCACCGGAAGTTTCACCCACTTTATTTTTTACAGGAGTGCCCCTCGGAAACTTGTGGATAGAGTGCCAAAGTTATGATGTCACTTTCTGGGACAATTCATAGAAATGCAGATTTTTTTATTTGTTTGTGTGTGTGTGTGTGTGTGTGTGTGTGTGTAATTGCATTAGTTTTAGTATGTGGGGTGGTTAAGTCCTTGTGAAAGAGGTATGTCATCAGCTGCTTCTTGAAAGATGTGGTCACAGCGGTTCGGGAGGAGGTTGGCAACTCATTCCACCAGAGAAGAACAGAGGGTGAACGTTTTGGAGAGTATCTTTTTGCCTCGTGAAAAAAAAAAACAAAAAAAAAAAACAAGATGATGCTCATTCAGTCACCTTTGCAGTAGAGTAGACTGTAAACTTTTAGGGGAGAACAGCGGTAGGGAGATGCCGTTCCAGTGGTAGATCGGAAAGCCAACATCAAAGCCTTCAAGGGGACCTAAGATGTATACGTCTCTGGTGTCCCAAAAATGTGTCTGTGAAACGTAAGCTCAAAATTTCAAACGGATCATTTATTATAGCATGTCCAATTTGCCCCTATTTGGGTGTGAGAACAAAGCCGTTTTTGTGCGTGTCCCTTCAAATCCAAATGACCAGCAGCCATATCACCCTGTAGCCCTAGACTGGTTGCCCACTGAAGCTAAGCAGGGCTGGGCCTCGTCAGTACCTGGATGGGAGCCCTCCTGAGAAACCCAGGTTGCTGCTGGAAGAAGTGTTAGTGAGGCCAGCAGGGGGCGCTCACCCTGTGGTCTGTGTGGGTCCTAACACCCCAGTAGTGACGGGGACACTATACTGCCAAAGACCACCATCCTTCGAATGAGACGTTAAACCGAGGTCCTGACTCTCTGTGGTCATTAAAAATCCAAAATTTCCTGGCCAAATTTTCCCCTTGGCCTCTGTCCATCATGGCCTCCTAATCATCCCTATATACTTACTGGCTTCATCACTCTGTCTCCTCTCCAACAATAAGCTGGTGGGCGTTTTGGGGCAATATGGGTGTCGTCGCATCATCCAGGTGGATGCTGCACACTAGGGGTGGTTGACCTCCTTCAGAGTTCAGCCTTATATGTTCAAACCGGAGTCGGACAATAATGGAGAGACTCGGGAAGAAATTAAGAATTAGACTACACCTGGATGTTTCTGGACGTGGTTGTCCTGGCTATCTGGAAACTCCTGACGAATTCTCAGCACCATATTCAGGTGGCCATTTCCATAACACCAAAAAGGAGGACAATTTGTGGCATTTAGTAAGGCAAGACTAATGGCATAGGACTCTGATGAACTACAATACAAATGTGTCCATTATATCAATGGTATCATGTGATTCTGAAATAGCCTAGGGTACTCCATTCATTGTCAGACAAATTGATCTAACGTACGATCTATATCTTGATGTAGACCTATGTGTGACAGAAGAGGCAAAAAAGTGTTTGCTCACAGTTTGTATTCAAGACATTGTGATGTGTTACAAAAACTGACCACTGAGATTAACCATAACATTTCTGGACTTCTGGAAATAAAAGAAATACATAAACATATAATGAATGCGAAAAATAAATAAATACACATTTCAGTTCTTAACAAATAAGTTTCCCTAGCGTCTACTTCACAGTTAGCCTGGCTGCGCCCTCCTACGCACTTCCGCTCAATTTCATTTTACTGAAATGAAATGAACTAGAGTCTGGTTGAACCAGGCTACTTCACAGTGACACAGTGCGCAAAATCCATGAGAACTGTCTCTACTGCTTTTTGATATAAATTCATGCTCTTTCTGACGTTTCGGCATGTTAACGTTATTACATGACGTAGAAAGCACGTGGAGGCTTGATTACATATTTAACCAATGATATATCAGATATTTATTTGACACCGCTTTCAGCCAATCATTTGTTTGACCAGAGATCTTACGGCATAACGTTTTGCTGCTGCGTCCTAATACAGATTCTAGAGCGGGTTTTTTTGGGGGTCGATTCAGCGCAACTCCAAAAAGGAGGACAAATGAGTGTCCGGCTTGAGGCTGTGCCAGACGCCAGACAGGGGGCTTAAAATCCAGACTGTCCGGCCAAAATCCGGACGTATGGCCACCCTACGCAGGCTGAAATCACTATGCATATTTGCCATCCAAGGAAACATCCACATACCCTGGCCTGCACAATATGAATGTATTTGTAAATAGTTATTAATGACTGTTATAAACTAACTTATAAGAAAACATGCAACGCTAGAATGCAAAATTTGTCTACATTTACATTCAGTATCCGTAAACTGTCATGAGGCAGGTGAGTCAGAACATGCGGAGAAAGAGAGCAGACAGCTTGCCAGGAGATCGTTTAACACAGATATACACAATGGAACTTAGAACTTCTTGAAGAAGGGTCACTTTCAGATAAAGTCTCTTCTTGAAGAATAAACTTAAATAGAAACAGCCTTGTAGACGTAAATTAGATGAGATCTCCGTTTGGTGAGATGAGAACAGACTCTAGGCGCTCGAGGCAGGCTTGAAGCAATCGGTGATTCTCCGGCTCAGATCAAAAGGCTCACAAACAATAATCAGCTCTCCAATACAACAGGACTAAGACAGGACAAAAGACATTAGTGTTAGAAGGCACATAAGCTCTCACACAATAATGCAATACTCAGGCAAAGACAAGAAAGAAGAGAGGGAACAAATAGAGATGCTAATCAAGATGAAAAGGATTCGGGTGAAAAGGAGGCGAGAGCTCCAACTAATGAACGAGAAACAAAAGATGAGGATAACGAGAGGGTGTGAGAGATAATGAGGAAACAACATAATGAGAGAGAAAGAGATGACGTAGTGAGAGAAAAGAACCAGGATCATGACATAAACACAGAGTTTACTTACTAAATGTTGGGTCTTCACTGGTTTGACCATGCATCGTCCTTTCCTGGCCTTTGGAAAGTTTGCTTTGTATAGTGAATCTCGATTTTTTTTGCAATATAATGCAGCCAGGTACAGTCTGTAAGTAAAGAGATGAAATTCAGGAAAAAGGTGTATACAAATGTGTTATTTGAATATGTATTTTGAAAGTTTTTTTTTACCTACTTTACCTGCACAACATTCCAAGAAATGGAAAGACCCCTTTTCTTTCCAGTCAAAACGTGGAAAACCTCCAAGGACA